CTAGGGCGCCTGTAAATCCTCAGGGTGTTTGGATTAGAATACCTGCGGCTACAAGGCCTATGTGGCTTACGGAGGAGTAGGCAATTAGGGATTTTAAGTCTGTCTGGCGTAAGCAGATCGAGCCGGTCATAATGACGCCTCAGAGGGCCAGTACAATAAAGGGATAAATTATTTCTTTGGAGAGGGGTTCTAGTACGATTATTAGACGCATTATTCCGTATCCTCCGAGTTTGAGGAGTACGGCAGCGAGGACCATCGAGCCTGCGATGGGGGCTTCTACGTGGGCTTTGGGGAGTCAGAGGTGTATTCCGTAGAGGGGTATTTTAACCAGGAAAGCGATTATGCATGCTGCTCATCAAACTTTGCCTCCCAGGGGTATTAAGAGGAGGGGCTGTGTGTAGTGGATAATTAAGAGGGAAAGGGTTCCTGTGTTATTTTGGAGCATAAGAAGGGCAACTAGTAGGGGGAGGGAGCCTGCAAGGGTGTAGAATAGAAAGTAGGTTCCTGCGTTGAGTCGTTCTGTTTGATTTCCTCAGCGGGTGATGACTAGAAGGGTTGGGATTAAGGTTGCCTCAAATATAACATAGAACATAATTACTTCTGTGGCACTAAATGCTAGAATAAGAAAGAGCTGGAGGGTGGTGAGAAGAGAGATGTATATTCGTTGACGGTTTAGGGGCTCGGATGATAGGTGGTTTTGGCTTGCTAGGATTATTAGTGGGAGGAGTCAGCATGAAAGTACAAGGAGCGGGGTTGATAAGGGGTCTGTGGCGGTGTAGGGGTTAAGGGTGGTCCACCCGGTTTCTGTTGGGTTATTGAGTCAGATAAGGCTTCCTACAGCAATTAGTATGCTTTGGGCGAGGGTGGTGGGCCACAATCATTTAGCAGAGGTCAGCCATGTTGTTGGGAGGAGGAAGAGGGTGGGGGCGAGGATTTTTAGCATTGTAGGAGATTTAAGTTTTGTAGGTGGTCGGAGCCGTGTGTGCGGGCTGTAGCTACGAGGAGGGCTAAGCCTGCGCTTGCTTCACAGGCGGAGAAAGCTAACATTAGTATGGGCACCGTTGAGTATCCTGAGGCGTTTAATTGGAGGGATCAAAGGGACAGACCAATAAATAACACGAGTATTATCCCCTCTAAACAAAGAAGTGCAGAGAGGAGGTGGGTTCGGTGAAATGTTAGGCCTATAAGACTAAGTATGAAGGCGGAGAAGATTGTAAAGTTTGTTGGGGTCATTTAGGCAATTGTGGGGTTTAACCACAGACTCTTGAGCCGAAATCAAGTATTTTATCTATACTAATTACCTATTCAGCTCATTCTAGTCCTCCTTGGAGCCACTCGTAGATAAGTCCGAGGGTGAGAAGGGTCAAAACGGAGGTGGCCCACAGGAAGGTCAAGGTTGGGTTGCTTAGTTGGTCGCCTCAGGGGAGGGGGAGGAGGAGGGCAATTTCTAGGTCGAATAGAAGGAATAGGATGGCGATTAGAAAAAAGCGTAGGGAGAAAGGCAGGCGGGCGCTTCCAAGTGGGTCGAATCCGCATTCATAGGGAGAAAGTTTTTCATAGTCCGGGCTTAGCTGGGGGAGTCAGAAAGAGACGAGGATGAGGATTAGTGAGAGGGCTGAGGCAATAAAAATAACTGTTGAGATTAGATTCATTATCTTTCCTTGGATTTTGACCAAGACCGTGTGGTTGGAAGCCACTTATACTCATTGATACTAGAAAGATTATGAGCCTCATCAATAGATTGAGATGTATAGGAAAAGTCATACGACATCTACGAAGTGTCAGTATCATGCAGCTGCTTCAAAGCCGAAGTGATGTTCGGATGTAAAGTGGAATCGGATTTGACGGAGGAGGCAGACGGCTAGGAACGTGGATCCGATGATTACATGGAGTCCGTGGAAGCCGGTAGCGACAAAGAAGGTTGCTCCGTAAACACCGTCGGCGATGGTAAAGGGGGCTTCATAGTACTCTATGGCTTGAAGGAAAGTGAAGTAGAAGCCTAAAAGGATTGTGAGGGTGAGGGCGTGGATTGCTTGTTTTCGTTCTCCTTCAACGATGCTGTGGTGTGCTCAGGTTACTGTTACTCCGGAGGCCAGTAGAACGGCTGTGTTTAGTAGGGGGACTTCAAAGGGGTCCAGGGTGGTGATGCCTGTAGGGGGTCAGCAGCCGCCTAACTCGGGGGTAGGTGCTAGGCTTGAGTGGTAGAAGGCCCAGAAGAAGCCGAGAAAAAAGAAGACTTCTGATGTAATAAATAGGACTATTCCGTACCGAAGGCCTTTTTGGACAGGGGGTGTGTGGTGGCCCTGGAAGGTGCCTTCCCGGATGATGTCGCGTCATCATTGGTACATTGTCAATAAGAGGAGGACTAGGCCTAAGGTTATTAGGATCGTTGAGTGGAAGTGGAATCATACGGCGAGGCCGGATGTTATTAAAAGTGCAGCTACTGCGCCTGTTAGGGGTCAAGGGCTGGGGTCTACTATATGATATGCATGAGCTTGGTGGGCCATTAGACGTTTTCTTGTAGATAGAGGCTTAAGAGTAGTACAAAGACGTAGGCTTGAATTAAGGCAACGGCTACTTCAAGTAGTGTTAGTATAAAAAGCAGGATGGTTGTGAGAATTGCGACTGTTGGTATCAGGGGGAGAAGTACGAAGGCGGCAGAAGAAACAAGGTGGATAAGTAGGTGGCCGGCAGTTAGGTTGGCTGTAAGTCGAACGCCTAAGGCAAGGGGTCGGATGAAAAGGCTAATTGTTTCGATGATAATTAGGACAGGGATCAGTGGCGTGGGGGTTCCTTCTGGGAGGAAGTGAGCTAGGGCGTGGGTAATTTGGTGTCGTAGGCCGAGGATCACGGTTGCTAGTCATAGGGGGACAGCAAGGCCCATGTTAAGGGACAGTTGTGTTGTGGGGGTGAAGGTGTAAGGTAGAAGGCCTAGGATGTTAAGAGCGAGTAGGAAGATTATAAGAGCGGAGAGTAGTGGGGCTCATTTGTGCCCTCCTGTGTTGAGGGGAAGGAAGATTTGGCTAGTGAAGTTGCTGAGGAATCATCCTTGGAGGGTTAGTATTCGGTTATTTAGCCATCGGCTGGTGGGTGCTGGGAAGAGCAGTCAGGGTAAGCTAAGGGCAACTATAATGAGGGGGATTCCTATAAAGGTGGGGCTTGAAAATTGGTCAAAGAGGCTTAGTGTCATGGTCAGTTTCAGGGGGTGGTTTTAGGGGTTGTCACGCTTTGGGGAGTGGGTTCATTAGGGAAAGAGTGTGCTATTACTTTTTGTGGGAGAATTGTTAAGAAAATTGTTCAGGTGAACATGAAAATCGCGAACCAGGGGTCAGGGATTAATTGGGGCATGTCACTAAGGGTGGTTGGGAGGCACCGACTTCCAGCTTAAAAGGCTGGTGCTTAGCCCGAGTAAGCTTCTTAATGAGGCGTCTTCAAGTATTAAAGAGGATCAAGATTCGAAGTGTTCTAGGGGAACGGCTTCGACGACGATGGGTATGAAGCTGTGATTCGCTCCGCAAATTTCTGAACACTGTCCGTAGTATACTCCTGGTCGGGCAGCAATGAAGGCTGTTTGGTTTAGTCGTCCGGGTACTGCGTCCATTTTAATGCCTAGGGCTGGAACTGCTCATGAGTGAAGGACGTCTTCTGCTGAGATTAAGACTCGGATGGGGGACTCAACTGGGACAACCATGCGGTGGTCTACATCTAATAGCCGGAACTGGCCGGGGCTTAGGTCTTGTGTGGGGATTATATAAGAGTCAAAACCGAGGTCTTCGTAGTCGGTATATTCATAGCTTCAGTATCATTGGTGGCCCATGGCTTTAATAGTAAGATGGGGGTCGTTAATTTCGTCTATGAGGTAAAGGATGCGTAGGGAGGGAAGGGCGATTATGATGAGAATAACAGCGGGGAGGACTGTTCAGATAATCTCAACTTCCTGGGAGTCTAGAATGTAGCTGTCTGTCAGTTTGGTGGAAATTATTGCTACAATAATGTAAAGCACAAAGGTGCTAATTAAAAATACGACTATTAGGGCGTGGTCGTGGAAGTGTAATAACTCTTCTATTACGGGTGATGCCGCGTCTTGGAATCCTATTTGTGAGGGGTGTGCCATACTAGCTTGCGCTGGGGCTACGCGGGGTTCAAACCCGCAACTGTGCCTCGACAAGGCAGTGTGATTATTTCACCAGAAGTCCATAAAGAAAGTGACAGAGTGGTCATGTGATTGGCTTGAAACCAGTAGATGGGGGTTCAATTCCCTCCTTTCTCGGGTTGCGCGGGCTTGAACTTGTACAAAGGCGGGCTCCTCGAATGTGTGGTAGGGAGGAGGGCATCCGTGAAGTCATTCAACGTTGGTTGCGGTTATTTCTACTGCTAAGACTTCTCGTTTGGCAGCAAAGGCTTCTCAAAGGATAAAGAGGAATATAATTACTGCTAGAAGGGAGACGAGGGAGCCGATAGAGGAGACGGTGTTTCAGAGTGTGTAGGCGTCAGGGTAATCTGAGTACCGTCGGGGCATTCCTGCAAGGCCTAGGAAGTGTTGGGGGAAAAATGTAAGGTTTACACCTGCGAATATGAGTCCAAAGTGAATTTTTGTTCAAGTGGTGTGGAGGGTGTAGCCTGAGAATAGTGGGAATCAGTGGACGAAGCCTGCCATAATAGCAAAGACGGCACCTATAGATAGGACGTAGTGGAAGTGGGCTACTACGTAATATGTGTCGTGAAGAACAATGTCTAGAGAAGAATTGGCTAGAACGATGCCTGTAAGTCCTCCGACTGTGAATAGGAAAATGAAGCCTAGGGCCCAAAGTATAGGAGTGTCTCATTTAATTGATCCTCCATGGAGGGTTGCTAATCAGCTGAAAACCTTAACGCCTGTTGGAATGGCAATAATTATAGTTGCGGATGTGAAGTATGCTCGGGTGTCAACATCTATCCCGACTGTGAATATGTGGTGGGCCCACACGATAAAACCAAGAAGGCCGATGGCTATCATGGCTCATACCATGCCTATGTACCCAAACGGTTCTTGTTTGCCTGAGTAGTATGCCACAATGTGGGAAATTATTCCGAAGCCTGGGAGAATGAGAATGTAGACTTCGGGGTGGCCAAAGAATCAGAACAAGTGTTGGTATAGGATTGGGTCTCCCCCTCCGGCGGGGTCAAAGAAAGAGGTGTTGAGGTTTCGGTCAGTTAGTAGCATTGTGATGCCGGCGGCCAAGACGGGTAGAGATAGCAGGAGTAGAACGGCTGTAATAAGGACGGATCAAACAAAGAGGGGCGTTTGGTACTGTGAAATTGCAGGGGGTTTTATGTTGATAATAGTAGTAATAAAATTGATTGCTCCTAGAATTGATGAGACACCTGCTAGGTGGAGTGAGAAAATGGTGAGGTCAACGGAGGCGCCAGCGTGGGCAAGATTACTTGCAAGAGGGGGATAGACTGTTCAGCCTGTCCCGGCCCCGGCTTCTACTCCAGAAGATGCTAGGAGGAGCAGGAAAGACGGAGGGAGAAGCCAGAAGCTTATATTATTTATTCGGGGGAAGGCTATGTCGGGGGCCCCGATCATTAGGGGGACGAGTCAGTTTCCAAAGCCTCCGATTATTAGTGGTATTACTATAAAGAAGATTATTACGAAGGCGTGTGCCGTGACGATCACGTTGTAAATTTGATCGTCGCCCAGGAGCGCGCCTGGTTGACTAAGTTCTGCTCGGATGAGCAGGCTTAGGGCTGTTCCGACTATGCCGGCTCAAGCACCAAATACGAGATAGAGGGTGCCAATGTCTTTGTGATTGGTCGAGAAAAATCAGCGGGTGATTGCCACAGGTAGGATGGCTGAGTAAGCGGTGGATTGTAACCCCACATACAGAGGTTTGAGCCCTCTTCCTGTCAAGTCCGTAAGCCCTGGGGTGTCACACGTCAGATTGCAAATCTGAAGAAGTAGGCTAACGCCTACCGGGACTTTCCCCCGCTTCCCCGCCTTACAGCGGGGGAAAGTAGATGGATGCTCGCTGGTTTGAGCGCTTAGCTGTTAACTAAGAGTTTAAAGGATCGAGGCCTTTCTATCTAGTAAAGTCTTAGCTTAATTAAAGTGTCTGTTTTGCATGCAGGAGATGTGGGGTAGTATCCCGCAGATTTTATCAGGGGCTGGAGGGTTCTCACCTCCGCTGAGAGCTTTGAAGGCTCTTGGTCTGGTCCATCCTAAGCCCCTAGCAGAACATTAAAATTACAGCTGCTGGGGCGATGGGGAGGAGCATCGTGGTAATTATAGTGGAGGTTGTCAGGGGGAGTAGAAACTCTTTTGTGATGACTCGTCAGGGGGCGAGGGCGGTACAGGTATTGGGGGAGGTAGTCAGTGTAAGGGCGTAAGAGACTCGGAGGTAGAAGAATAGGCTTAGGAGAGCGCCGAGGGCGGCTACTGAGGCTGTTAGTGGGAGGTCTTGTTTTGTTAGTTCTTGCAGAATTATTCATTTGGGGAGGAAGCCTGAGAGTGGGGGGAGGCCCGCAAGGGAAAGAAGAATTAGAGGTGTCACAGCGGTGAGTGCTGGCGTTTTAGCTCAGGAGGTGGCTAGTGTATTAAGGGTGGTTGATGAATTAGTTTTGAAGACTATGAAGGTAGAGAAAGTTATGAAGATGTACATAGTTAGTGCAAGGAGGGCTAGCTGTTGGCTAAATTGTATGACTAAAAGTATTCAGCCAAGGTGGGCGATTGATGAGTAAGCTAGGATTTTACGTAGTTGAGTTTGGTTCAGCCCACCTCACCCGCCGACGAGGATGGAGGTGACGGCTAAGAAGGTAGTAAGGGCGGGGTTTACTGGTGCAACTTGGCAGAGTAGAATGAATGGAGCTAGTTTTTGTCATGTGGACAAGATGAGGCCTGTTGTTAAGTCAAGCCCTTGGAGAATATCAGGGAGTCAAGCGTGGACTGGGGCCAGGCCCACTTTTAAAGCGAGGGCTATTATGAGGAATGCGGCTGGGAGGGGGTGAAAATCAAAGCCGATCTGTCATTGTGTTGTGAGGCAGGCGTTTAGTATGGTGGCGAAAAGGATTAGGGAGGCGGCGGTTGCTTGGGCGAGGTAATATTTAATTGTTGCTTCTACCGGGCGGGGGTGGTGCTGTCGGGCTATTAGTGGGACGATGGCTAGCGTATTAATTTCTAGGCCTATTCAAGCTAGAACTCAATGGGAGCTTGCAAAAGTAAGGGTAGTGCCCAATCCGAGGCTTAATGAAAAAATAGAGAGGGCAAAGGGACTCATACCAGCAGAGGAGGGAATTTAACCAACATGTTCGGGGTATGGGCCCGAGAGCTTACTTTAGCTGACCCTGCTAGGAAATAGTGTAGTGGAAGCACTAGGAGTTTTGATCTCCTAAGGATGGGTTCAAATCCCCTTTTTCTAAGGAGCTGAAGGGAGTTTAACCCTTATGATTCACTCTATCAAAGTGGCCCTTTAATTCAGGCACAACTCCGTTGCTAGGCTTGGGGAGGGAGCCCGGCGAATGCGGTGGTGAGTGAGAGGTGTCAAATCACTAGGGCCAAGGTTAGAGGCAGAAAATTTTTTCAGACCAGGTGCATGAGCTGGTCGTAGCGGAACCGGGGGTATGAGGCCCGCACTCAGAGGAAGACTATGGATAGGAGGGCTGCTTTGGTCATTAGTGTCACGGAGGTGAGTTCAGGCATTGCGGGGAAATAAGAGGAGCCTAAAAATAGGATTGTTGAGAGGGTGTTTATAAGCAGGATATTGGCGTATTCTGCCAGGAAGAAGAGTGCGAAGGGTCCGCCTGCATATTCAACATTGAAGCCTGAGACAAGTTCTGACTCCCCCTCAGTCAGGTCGAAGGGGGCTCGGTTTGTCTCTGCTAGTGTAGAGATGTACCACATAGCAGCTAGAGGTCATGCTGGGAGGGCGAGTCATGTTGCTTCTTGTGTCATGCTGAATGTTTGGAGTGTAAAGCCTCCAGAGAAGACGATTACGCTTAGAAGAATAAGTCCTAGGCTAACTTCGTAGGAAATAGTTTGGGCAACAGCACGAAGGGCTCCCACTAAAGCATATTTGGAATTTGATGCTCAACCTGAGCCCAAAATCGAGTAGACAGCTAGGCTAGAAATGGCAAGGACAAAGAGGATGCTTAGGTTTAAGTCAGCAACTGGGGAGGGTATCGGTATGGGGGCTCAGAGTGTTAGTGCCAGGGTGAGGGCAAGAACGGGGGTAAAGACAAATAGGAGAGGGGAGGATGCTGAGGGTCGAATTGGTTCCTTAATAAAGAGTTTTAGGCCGTCAGCAATTGGTTGGAGGAGTCCGTAGGGGCCAACAATATTGGGGCCTTTTCGTAGTTGTATATAGCCTAGGACTTTTCGTTCAATTAAAGTTAAGAAGGCAACTGCTAGAAGTACTGGGACTATATAGATGAGGGGGTTGAGAACATGGGTGATCAAGGTGTTGATCATAGTTAGAGAGAGGAATTGAACCTCTGTAGGGAGGGCTTAGGCCTCATGCACTGTCCGGGCTCTGCCACTGTAACATGCCCATACTTTCTGGGGCCTTTTTAAGCCCCCTTTTCCACTTTATTAGGTGTCAGTGGTGAGGGGAGGGGCGTGCGTTGGGCATGGGCCCCCTTTTTTCGTTCCTTTCGTACTGGAAAAGAGCTTGTTATAGATAGAAACTGACCTGGATTACTCCGGTCTGAACTCAGATCACGTAGGACTTTAATCGTTGAACAAACGAACCCTCAATAGCGGCTGCACCATTAGGATGTCCTGATCCAACATCGAGGTCGTAAACCCCCTCGTCGATATGAGCTCTGAGAGGGGATTGCGCTGTTATCCCTGGGGTAACTGGGTTCGTTAATCGGTATACCGGATCAGCTAGGTCAGAATTTCTGTTGCTTGGAGTGGAGGCTCTGAGTTTTGGGGATAGTATCCCCGTCCACATGGAGGTTGTGTTTTACTCCGCGGTCGCCCCAACCAAAGACACTTTAATAATTGTCCACTAAGTTTTTGCTATTAATACTAGTACATTAAACGTGGTTTATTTTAGGTCTAAAGCTCCACAGGGTCTTCTCGTCTTATAAAGATATCCCCGCCTCTGCACGGGGAGGTCAATTTCATTGACTGGAGAGGGGAGACAGTTAAGCCCTCGTGATGCCATTCATACAGGTCTTCATTTAAAAGACAAGTGATTACGCTACCTTCGCACGGTTAAGATACCGCGGCCGTTAAACATATAGTCACAGGGCAGGCGGGACCTCTTATATTTTGAGGGACAAGAGGCGATGTTTTTGGTAAACAGGCGAGGCTTGTGTTTGCCGAGTTCCTTCCTTCTCTTTTAGTCTTTCCTTGGGGCACGCCTGTGTAGGGCTAACGGTTTAAAATAAGTGGTTTTCTTGTTGGAACGACTTATGTCCCTCTGGGTTTGGGGTCGGTTAATGGTCGGTGGGAGGTCCGCTCCGACTTACACGCGTGCTTGGAGAAGAACGATATTCTTCTTATTACTCATTTTAGCATAATTGTTCCTATGGGAGCATAGGACAGCCTGGTAGAAAGCAGGGAGGGAGATGAAATATCAGTATATGCGGATGGTGTATAATTTGAGCTTTAACGCTTTCTGTTAAGATGGCTGCTCTTAGGCCCACTTAATTTAGAATCCTTGGTTAATATGATCTTGGGTCACCTGTTAAAGTTGTTTCTTTTATCAGAAGGGCTGTACCCCTTTTGATTAACTCCTTTAGTTTCCTTGGCCTATTTAGGCATGCGTTGTGGGCGGGGAAAGACTTAAAGGGCTGAACTTCTATTCATTTCTCAGGCAACCAGCTATAACTGGGCTCGGTAGGTTTGTCACCTCTACTCAAAGCTCTCCCCACTCTTTTGCCACAGAGACGGGTTTGCCCTAGAAGGCTGTCTTGGAGTAGCTCGCGCCAGTTTCGGGGTTACAAACTAAAGGGCTCTTTGCTTGTATTTTTCTTGCTAAATCATGATGCAAAAGGTACGAGGGGGTAGCTCTGCTGTTTGGGGCTTAAATGAATTATTTCATTTCTCTTTCAGCGTTCCCTCGCGGTACTTTATCTGTCGCTCTTTTTTCCTTTTTCGTCGCCCGTACTCGGGGGGTAAAATGGTTTACTTAAGTAAATTTTAAGTTTTTAATTTCATAATAGAAAAGTCTGGTTGTAGGGGCTAGCTATTAGGCGTCAGGGCAGTCTGATTTGCACGGACGACTTCTCGGTGTAAGGGAGATGCTTTACTAACTTGGCTATGCTCTGGTTCATCCAAGCGCACCTTCCGGTACGCTTACCATGTTACGACTTGCCTCCCCTTGTTTAATAAAACATTTTAGGTAATACTTGTAATTATTTGGGGAGAGTGACGGGCGGTGTGTGCGCGCTTCAGGGCCGTTTTCAGGGGGGCACTCTATTCCTCCCTTACTGCTAAATCCACCTTCAGGCAGGGTTTTCAGGCTGCCATTCGTATTCTCTGTGACAGAGAATGTAGCCCATTTCTTCCCATCCCATTCACTACACCTCGACCTGACGTTTTTGGCTTAGCCATTTTTGCTTACTATTTGGCCTTCACAGGGTAAGCTGACGACGGCGGTATATAGGCGGGTTAAACGAGGGATGGTGAGGTTCAACGGGGGTTATCAGTTCTAGAACAGGCTCCTCTAGTGGGGGGTAAAGCACCGCCAAGTCCTTTGGGTTTTAAGCTAGTGCTCGTAGTTCCCGGGCGGAGGGTCAGAGTATCGGGCCCTCGATGTTAACAGCCATACATAGTGGGGTATCTAATCCCAGTTTGTTTTATGGTTTTCGTGGAGTCAAAATGGGGTAGAGCTACTTTCGTAATTGTACTTCGTGGCCTCGAATGCGTATAACTGCTTTGAGGTTATTCGGCTCTAGTTTTAACGGTTTTTAACCACGCTTTACGCCGTTTTTTATCAACTTGGGCCGCTCGTATAACCGCGGTGGCTGGCACGAGCATTTACCGGCCCTCTTAGCCTTAACTAAGTCAAGTTTTCACTTATGGCTTAAATTTTATCACTGCTGAATACCCGTAGGGGTGTGGCTGAGCAAGGCGTTGTGGGCTGCATTGGCGTGCCTGATGCCTGCTCCTTAATTCCTTTCAGGACATTAAGGGCATTCTCACGGGAGAGCGGAGACTTGCATGTGTAAATTAGGTTAGAGTTGATAGTAAAGTCAGGACCAAACTTTTGTGCTTTCGGGGCTTTCTAGGGCCCATCCTAATATCTTCAGCATTATACTTTAGTTAAGCTACGATAGCAAATCAATATTATAATATTGTAATACTATAATAAACAAAACACATTTTAAGAATATATTGTTATTGAATATAAAACGAGGGGTAGTGTAATAATTAAAACTAGATAATATTTTAAAATAGAGTTATCTTTTTTTTTCTCAATTCTCGAGGGTTTTCTGTTCCCGGGGGGGCCGACAGAGTCATAGACATCTCAGGAGAATTGGGGGGGTAGGGGGGGCCTACGCAAAAAATCGCGTAATTAAAGAAGGGGGCGTAATAGAAATCCTTCGAGAAAATTTCTCATATTATGCTCATGATATATCTATATGCTACTCTTACTTTAAGCCCTTCTAACATGATATAAATTTTCTTCATACCAAGAGCAAGTTCAACCTTGACAGGAACTACCGTGTTCACTCTGGGATGCCAGATGAAAGGAAAAAAAAAAAAGAAAACCCGTTGCCCCTTAGAGAGAACGCCCGGCATGCTGGGAAATTTGAATATATGACTGCGAACATTAAGAGATGGACAAAAGTGCAAGTTATGAGCTGTAAGATGTTTATGGACCTGAAGCTAGGCACTGATGCCAGGAATAATTCACGGAGCGGTGAGTCTTCGATTAGTACCCTTGACCTTACACTGAAACGTGCATCTTGGTAAGCAAGTCTAGCGGGTGATTTAATTAGGGTATTTGGGGAAAGGAAATGAGGGGATACAAATAAGTTTAATAGTAGGAAAGAATGAGTGTTATGGGTTGACTGGTTAAGTAAGAGTGATGGTAGTTTTAATTTTATGCTAATGTTCTTTTTTCAGGTTTTAATTGCCTGAATGGTCTATATAGGAAAATGGGGATAATACATATATGTTCAAGTCTTACATTGTAGGGGGAATGCTGTCAGAGGGTAGTTTAAAATAAAATGCTAGCTTTGGGAGTTAGTGATGAGAGTTTGAGTCTTTTCTTTCTGAGCGGGGGGGGACGAGGGGGGGGGGGGGGGGGGAACGGTCAAAAAAAGGGGGGGGGTTAAAAGAGGTGAAGATTAACCGAGTTGGGGGTTAGTACTCACAGAAATGTGTTGGCAGAGCTTGGGGGAGGGAGAAAAGCAAAATGAGGGGAGGAGGGGGGGGGGGGGGGCCAAAAAGTTTGGGGTGTATTTAGGTCAATACTCTTTGGGTCGGGGCTTTCCTCATGGAAAGCCCCCCCCGAGCTCGTGGCGGGCGTGAGCCGGGCAGAGCTCGGAGGGGGGGGGGGGTAAGGACCGTTGGTCGTCGTTTGTGTTAGCGCTAGGGAGGAATTTAGCCTCCGACCTTCGACTTACAAGGCCGACGCTCTGTTGTGCTGAGCTACTAGGGCAGTTTCATTCGAGAGCCTTATTTTCAGCTATTCCTACGACGGGGAATACGACTAGGAATAGGGAGAAGTACAGGACTGATGCCACTTGTCCAATAATGATGAAGGGGTGTTCTACTGGTATTCCGCCGATTCATGTCAGGACTAGTATGTCTGCAACAAGTACCCAGAAGAGTAGTTGTGTAATGGGGCGAAATGTTAGGCCTCGTTGTTTTGAAGTGTGTAGGAAGGGAACAACTATTAGGACTAGAATGGAGAATAGAAGGGCGAGGACGCCCCCTAGTTTGTTGGGGATTGATCGTAGGATGGCGTAGGCAAATAAGAAATATCATTCAGGCTTGATGTGGGGTGGTGTAACAAGGGGGTTGGCGGGGGTGAAATTGTCTGGGTCTCCGAGCAGGTTGGGGGAAAAGAGGGCGAGGGCTGTTAGGGCTAGAAGGAGGAGAGCAAAGCCCAGGAGGTCTTTGTAGGTAAAGTAGGGGTGGAAGGGGATTTTGTCTGCGTCAGAGTTGAGTCCTACGGGGTTATTTGAGCCGGTTTCATGGAGGAAAAGGAGGTGGAGCATTGTAAAGGCGGCTACAACAAATGGGAATAAGAAGTGGAATGCGAAAAATCGGGTTAGGGTGGCGTTGTCAACTGAAAAGCCCCCTCAAATTCATTGAACTAGGGCGTTGCCCACGTAAGGTACGGCAGATATTAAGTTTGTGATGACAGTGGCGCCTCAGAAGGATATCTGTCCTCAGGGGAGGACATAGCCTACGAAAGCGGTTATTATTACTAGGAGGAATAGTACAACGCCGATGTTTCAGGTCTCTATAAATAAGTAAGAGCCGTAGTAGAGGCCTCGTGCAATGTGTAGGTATAGGCAGATGAAGAAGAAAGAAGCACCGTTGGCGTGTATGTTACGAATTAATCATCCGTAATTTACGTCGCGGCAGATGTGTACGACGGATGAGAAGGCTATTTCGACGTTTGCGGTATAGTGCATTGCTAAAAATAGTCCTGTTAAGATTTGGGCGGCTAAGCAGAGGCCTAAAAGAGACCCAAAGTTTCATCATGTTGAGATGTTGGAGGGGGCAGGAAGGTCTACTAATGCATCATTAGCAATCTTTAGAAGAGGGTGAGTTTTTCGGAGGCTGGCCATTAAGGGTTCTTGTAGTTGAATACAACGGTGGTTTTTCAAGTCATTGGTCCTGGTGAGAGCCCGGGCAGGAATTTATGGCATATCTTATGTTGTCTTTTTTAGTTGGGATAATTGTTGGTGTAATTTCAGTGGCTTCAAATCCTTCTCCGTACTTTGGTGCTTTAGGGCTCGTTTTAATAGCGGGTGCGGGGTGTGGGTGTTTAATTGGGCATGGAGGGGCCTTTTTGGCGGTTGTACTTTTCTTAATTTATCTGGGAGGGATGCTTGTTGTGTTTGCTTATTGTGCGGCTTTAGCTGCGGAGCCGTACCCTGAGGCTTGGGGGGATGTGGAGGTTTTTGCAGCTGCGCTGTTTTATTTTATGCTGGTGTTTGGGGGTGCCTTTTGATTCTTTGGGGGCGGGTACGGGGAGGGTTGGGCTTCTATTGAGGAGGTGGTTGTTCTCCCTGCTATTTTTGGGGATCCATTTGATGAGATGTTTAATTTCTCTGTTATTTCTGGGGACTCAGCAGGAGTTGGTATACTTTACTCTTTGGGTGGTGGGTTGCTAGTATTAAGTGCTTGGGTCCTTCTGTTAACGTTATTTGTGGTGCTTGAGGTGACTCGGGGGTTGGCGCGAGGGGCGTTGCGGGCAGTTAGATAATTGAAATTAAGGTGGCTAGTACTAGGGTGATAAGGAAGAGGGTTAGGTAGGTTTTAATTAGGCCTTGTTGAATATTGCTTGTTGAGGAGGCCAGGGGCATTGAAATGTTGGCGATGGCTTTGGGGCCTGTTTTTTCTAGTCATGTTTGGTCAACTATCTGGTTGGCGATTTTTTGTCCTAGGAGAAGACCAATTTTAGGGGCCTGGCGGTGGATGACAGCTGGTACAAAGCCTAGGGAAGTTGAGAAGTGGTGAGGGGTCCGTATGGGTGTGGTTTTTAATTGTTTGCTTGTTATTGTGGCTAGTTCGAGGGCGATGATTAGGCCGAGGACGGAGACGGCCAAGGCTGCTAATTTTAGTTCTGAGGGCATTGTCAGTACGGGGGTCTTGGTGAGGTTTGTGTTTAGTATGATTAAGAGGCCTCCAAAGATACTTCCTCAGGCTAAGCGCATTAGGGGGCGGATGACTGCAGGGTTATTTTCATTAATTGGGGAGAGAGGCAAGAACCGGGGGGTGCCCATAGAAACAAAGAAAATGACTCGAAGGCTGTAGATAGCAGTAAAAGATGTGGCGATAAGTGTAAGGACAAGGGCTCAGGCGTTAATGTGGGATGTGTTGAGGGCTTCAATGATTGCGTCTTTGGAGAAGAACCCGGCCAGGAAAGGGGTTCCTGTAAGGGCGAGACTTCCAACAGTTAGGCAGGAGGAGGTGAAGGGGGCGAGGTGGTGAAGCCCGCCTATTTTCCGGATGTCTTGTTCATCGTTTAGGCTGTGGATCACGGAGCCGGAGCACAAGAATAGTATGGCTTTAAAGAATGCGTGGGTGCAGATGTGGAGGAATGCTAGTTGGGGCTGGTTTAGTCCGATTGTAACCATTATAAGGCCTAGCTGGCTTGAGGTGGAGAAAGCGACAATTTTTTTGATGTCGTTCTGGGTGAGGGCGCAGGTGGCGGTAAATATTGTGGTTAGGGCGCCGAGGCAGAGGCACAGGGAGAGAGCGGTCTGGTTATTCTCTATAAGGGGACTAAGTCGAATTAAGAGGAAAATGCCTGCAACAACTATGGTGCTAGAGTGAAGTAGGGCAGAGACTGGGGTGGGGCCTTCTATGGCGGCCGGGAGTCAGGGATGGAGTCCAAATTGTGCGGATTTTCCGGTGGCAGCTAAGATTAGACCGAGGAGGGGGAGGGTTATATCTAGGGTTTTGCTTAGGGCTGATATTTGTTGGATGTCTCAGGCGTTGATGTTGGTGGCTAGTCAGGCTATACTAAGAATTAAACCGATATCTCCCACACGGTTGTAGAGCACTGCTTGGAGGGCGGCGGTGTTTGCGTCTGCCCGTCCGTGTCATCAGCCAATAAGTAAGAAGGATATAATGCCTACGCCTTCTCACCCAATAAATAGTTGGAAGAGGTTGTTGGCAGAGACTAAGATTAGTATTGCTACAAGGAAGATCAGGAGGTATTTAAAGAATCGGTTAATTAGGGGGTCTGCGTGCATGTATCATGTAGCAAATTCGAGAATGGACCAGGTCACGTAAAGGGCAATTGGGATGAAGATAATAGAGTAGTGGTCAAATTTAAAGCTAAGGGTAATGTCTAGGGTTGTTGTTACTATTCAGGTTCAGGATGTAATGACTGTCTCTACGCCGGAGTTGAGGAACAGGAAGAGGGGGGCTAGGCTGACCAAAAAGGCAGCCTTGACTGCCGTTTTTACGTGAGAGGCGGCCCAGTTTGGGCTAAGGGGGAGGGTTGTGAGTGAGGTAAGGAGGGGGTAAAGCAGGAGTGTAAATATGAGTAAGAGGCTCGAAGTGTACATTAAAGTGGTGGAGTGCATAGCTGCTACTTGGAGTTGCACCAAGAGTTTTTGGTTCCTAAGACCAACGGATGAGCTATTATCCTTTAGGAGCTCGAGGGAGCCTTGGGGTTTAACCAAGGGGGTGATAATTAGCAGTCTTCATTGCCATCGGGCCTTCCTCGGTGGGTTAGAGGGGTTTAACCTCTATTTTTAGAATCACAATCTAATGTCTTTATTAAACTAAACCTACAGGCAAACCATCCCCATAGAAGGGCAGGTTGGAGAATAAGTAACAGGAGGGGAGCCAAATGGAGGGCGAGTAGAAGGTGTTCGCGAGTGTAGGAGGGTGGGAGGGCCAGTATGTGCCGGGGAAGGGGGCCACGTTGGCTTGTTAAGAATATGTGGAGTGAGTATGCAGCTGTAATAAACGTTCCGGCTCCTGTTAGGACGAGGGAAAAGGGGGTTCAGTTAAATAAGGCGATGATGATTATTAGTTCACCCATTAGGTTGGGCAGAGGAGGGAGGGCCAGGTTTGCCAGGCTGGCAATAAATCATCAGCTAGTTATTAGGGGTAGTGCAATTTGAAGGCCTCGGGCTAGGAGCATGGTTCGGCTGTGTGTTCGTTCGTAGTTAGTGTTAGCAAGGCAGAAGAGGGCAGAGGATGCTAGGCCATGAGCGATTATTAAAACTAGGGCGCCTGTAAATCCTCAGGGTGTTTGGATTAGAATACCTGCGGCTACAAGGCCTATGTGGCTTACGGAGGAGTAGGCAATTAGGGATTTTAAGTCTGTCTGGCGTAAGCAGATCGAGCCGGTCATAATGACGCCTCAGAGGGCCAGTACAATAAAGGGATAAATTATTTCTTTGGAGAGGGGTTCTAGTACGATTATTAGACGCATTATTCCGTATCCTCCGAGTTTGAGGAGTACGGCAGCGAGGACCATCGAGCCTGCGATGGGGGCTTCTACGTGGGCTTTGGGGAGTCAGAGGTGTATTCCGTAGAGGGGTATTTTAACCAGGAAAGCGATTATGCATGCTGCTCATCAAACTTTGCCTCCCAGGGGTATTAAGAGGAGGGGCTGTGTGTAGTGGATAATTAAGAGGGAAAGGGTTCCTGTGTTATTTTGGAGCATAAGAAGGGCAACTAGTAGGGGGAGGGAGCCTGCAAGGGTGTAGAATAGAAAGTAGGTTCCTGCGTTGAGTCGTTCTGTTTGATTTCCTCAGCGGGTGATGACTAGAAGGGTTGGGATTAAGGTTGCCTCAAATATAACATAGAACATAATTACTTCTGTGGCACTAAATGCTAGAATAAGAAAGAGCTGGAGGGTGGTGAGAAGAGAGATGTATATTCGTTGACGGTTTAGGGGCTCGGATGATAGGTGGTTTTGGCTTGCTAGGATTATTAGTGGGAGGAGTCAGCATGAAA